TCAAACACATGACATATGTTAAATGGGGCCTCATAGGGAGACAACCAATCTAAAAAGAGAAACTAAAGTTTGATCTTTTAGCTGTGTTTAAGTCAGAAGGATTTTGGCTATCACAGCTATAGGATGGTGGTTTGATTGCTCCTTGGTTGCCCTCTCATTATCAATTTATTGCAAGTTCAGAGAGTAGAATCTCAGTTACAAGAATTAATTGAATATTCCTTGGAGCCTACTGGAAGCTATCAGCATGCATTGTGTCTTCCGAAACCAAGCACTATACAATCCCATTTACTTATGATGTTATGGATCATGGAGTCTGCTTAAATAACTTGGCTAGTTACATTTTTTCCCCCCTTTTTATTTATGCCTTATCTCTGGTTGTTTGTCTGTGAAATTTGGGGGCTAAAATCAAAGAATAGGTTTAAATCCTAGACATTAATTAGATTGCCTTGTGTTTTAACTTTAGTCTGTTAGAGCTACTGTATTAATAAATTGTTAAATATTTTGTTTACACTAGAAACCTGATGTCTGGTATCAATTATTAAAGAAGTCTGGTACCGATTATTCAAAAAGTCTGGTTAAGAATCATTGGGATTAATTTTGAGGGTCATTGCATAATTTCGTTTTACTGTGTTGTGAATTCAGGGATAGGAAAGCTGATTTGATTTGGCTGCCATCATATAATATTATAATCCACGTAACCAGAATAACAGCATGTGTATTTGACAACAGATGAAGATTGCTTGATTTAATTTTTAGGGATCAGGAAGTATTTGTACAAAAATCTCTTTTGAGATATTAAAGTCAACACCAAAACTTAATCCTTTAACATTTATGTAGTTATGGGGGAAGATCAAATGGATGATAGAGTCCATGATAATTTAGTGTGTAGTTGTTGGACAAATAGGCTTTTCTCCTTCCATATTTCTCATGCCCTGATCTAAAGGGAAAATCCAAAATTAACTGGTAAAGTCGAGAAATTAAATGATCAGGAAGTGTGATTGAGGTGAGAATTGCTGTACTGATACAAGAAGAAAACCAACTCAAAAAATGTTGCAGTGTCATTGGATTAACTCTGCAAAACCAAGAAAGGAAAGACATTTCAAGGAACAGAAAGTGTTGACTTTGAGTCATGTTGTGGTTAACAGATTTGGCCCAGCATTTATCATTGCTTAGAATGTTGCCATCTTATGATTGAAATAATTTGCAATTCTGGAAAGTGCATTGTAAAATCTAAGATAAAAAGGTCAGGTATTGTGCTGTACCTTAGGAGGATGTCAAGGTCATGTTATAGATAATTAAAATAGACAGCTACAGAAAGCAATCAGAAAGGCTCATTGAATGCCCAGAGAAATCTAAAAACAATTGTATCTCTACAGGAATAAAATACAAGGGGGTCAAGGTCAAGAAACTTTAGTGTTTCAGGGCTGAGGGATCTGGGTATCTTCATACATGAATCTCAGAAAACTAGAATGCAAGTACAACAGGTAATATGGCAAATTGAATTTTGGCATTTATTGCTAAAGAAATGGAGAATACAAGTAGGGAAGTGTTGATGCAACTGTAGTAGAGAGACTGCAGCATTACTGTAAGAGTTTTGGCCCTTTTACTTGGGGGATGTGGTTGCATTGGAGGCAGTTCGGGGGTGATTCGCCGGATTGATTGCAGAGATGAGTGGTTTGTTTTGTGAAGAGAATTTGCAAAGTTTAGACCTATACACTCGAGTTTAGCGAATGAGAAGATGTAGAATTGAGGTATACAAGGGGCTAAAGGGGAATTGACAATGTAGATGTAAAGCGGTTGTTTTCCCTTTTGGGGCAATTTAGAATGAGAGGTGATCGTTTTAGGACAAGGGGTAGCATATTTAAAACCGATGAAGAAGTACTTCTTCAAAGAACATGAAAACAGAAGTAGGCCATTCAGCCCCTTGCCTATTTTGCCATTCATTGAGATTGTAGCTGATCTGTGGCCTAACTCCATACACTTGCCTTTGGCCCATTTCCCTTAACACCTTTGCTTAACAAAAAAAAAATCTATCTCAGCTTTAAAATTAATGAAAGGCCCAGCATCCACTGCCATTTGTGGAAGAAAGTTCCAAACATCTACCTCCTTTGTGTGTAGAAGTGTTTCTTAACATCTACCCTGAATGTTTTGGCCTAATTTTCAGATTATGCCCCCCCAGTTTTAGAATCCCCACTAGTGGAAATAGTTTATCTTTAAATGCCCCTTTTTTCCCCTTATTATTGTGAAGGCTTTGATCAGATCACCCTTCAACCTTCTAGATTCCAGAGAAAACAGGTTTATTATGTATAATCTCACCTGATAACTTAACCATGAAGTCCAGTTATCATTCGTGTCAGCCTATGTTGTACTCCCTCAAGGCCAATATACCTTTCCTAAGCTATGCTACCCTGATCTGCTCACAGTTGTCTGAGTGGCGTCTAACCAGCGTTTTGTATAGCCACAGCATAACTTCTGCATCATTATACTCTAGTCCTCTATATAGAAAGGCCAATATTCCATTAGCTTTCTTGATTATTTTCTGCACCTGTTCATGGCATTTTCAAGATCTATACGCCTGAATCTTAAGTGTCTTTGGACATCCATTGTATTTAACTTCATACCATCTAGAAAGTACCTTGATCAATCCTTTCTCAGTCCAGAATGGATAACCTCATACTTCCTTACATTAAACTCCATCTGCCCGGTCTTAATGCATTCACTTAGTCTATCAATATCCCTTTGTAATTTTATGCTATCATCTACACTGTCTCCAGTGCTGTCTAACTTTGTGTCATCAGCAAATTTGGATATATGGCTTTCTGTTCAATATCCCAGTTGTTAATAAATAACATGAATAATTTGGCCCTAAGACAGATCCTTGTGTAAAGGGTCATGAATCTTTGGAATTCGGTACCCCAGAGTGCAGTGGATGCAGGGACACTGATTAATTTTAAGGAGGAGATAGACAGATAATGGATTGAATGGTTATGGAGAGTGAGCAGAAAAGTGGAGGTGAGGCTGAGATGCGACCAGCATGATTTCATTAAATGGCGAAGCAGGCTTGAGAGGCTGACTTGCCGATTTCTTCTCCTAGTTCTTGTCTACTTGTGGTCTAATACTGTATTTATCTTGAACCCAATCTCATAATTTGGCATCAAGTTACACAATAAAAGAGCTTCCATCAGATCCACCACCTGAGCACGTTGCTGACCTCTAATTCTGATCAGTCGTGCACCCTAAATATTTACCGCTTCACTATTGTGTTGTCAGCTGTTGCGTTCTAAGTTCCCTGAACCTGTGCCTCAAAAGCTTCTGAAAATTTCTGCCTTTGTCCCTGTGATCAAGTTTGACTGGCCTGTCCTAATAGCTGCTGGCATGGTTCAGCAGCAAATTTTATCTGATAAACCTCCAGCATAGGCTTTGGAATACTTCTTAATGTTAAGTTAATTACGTATAAATCAAGTTGTTGTTGCCGTTCCTTATTGGTGGAGGAAGCAAAATGTTGGTTGGTCACTTGAACTTAAAATTCAAGGTCAGGAACCCAACATCCCACCACCTCTGCCCTGATCCTGTGCCACATTGCATCATAAGTGCAACAGTATTTTGAAATAGAAAACTAATTGAACAGACCACCCTTTATTGAGTGCTTCATGGCTGTGGAAGCTAGCTCAAGATTATGATTCTCAAAAGAAAACACAGCCATGGCAGGGTTTGCTGATGTCTTGCAGAATGGAGCAGGCAGGAGATCAGAGGGTCAGTTGCGTCACGATGGAAACCAATAACCACATAGTCAATCGGAAGCTACTTAATTCACGATATTTTAGCCATCCTATTTTTCATTAGTTTATTCCACAGCCGTTTCCCTGCAGCTATTTGAAAATCAAATCAAGTGAATTTCAGTATGATTGCTGTGCCATGTGATTGAACAGATAGAGGTTGTAGTTTCCAAATGAACACAATAGTCCATTATTCTATTTCTCAGGTGATTTCTTTTTTCTTTCCCACTTTCAGAAATCCATTTTTCTCCACTAACGTGCCTTTTATTTTGTGTGCTATCTGTTGAGGGTGCAAATAGACTAACCTTTCTGCATCGCAGCATGCCCAAAGTGACAGAATCATCCTGGAGGGATCAGGTCTCTCATTGGTTGAGATTATGATTATTGAATGCGGTTTCTAGTTTGCTGTCAAATTAAGTTTTTATGAAATACTCGGCAATTCGGTGTTTTTGGAAACTCGTCACTCCCTCCTGTGTGACCAATTATAGTTCGGTGGCTAGAAACCATTGTTAATAATAATGCAAAAAGCAACAATATCTTATTTGCACAGTATTTCAAACAAAAATTTATTAGATCATTTTTAACTGGTAATTCAAGATATTTCTGGGTCAGAGAGTTATCACGTTCATTTGAATCCTTCTAAATTGCTGGGATAGTTTTGGGTTAGTGTAAATGCATCACTGACTTGTGATAAATTAAATAGCTGTAAATTTAGAATTGAAATATGAAACTTAGAGCTTTGCCTTCCAAACAAAATCCATTGAGCCTGTTCTGCCATTCTGAAAGAACTTTCTCACAATATGGTTTAGTATTCAAATATCTATCATTCTCAGTCTTGAATATACACATCAACTGCGCAATGACACTCCTCTGGAATATTGAATTCCAAAGATTTGCAACCCTCTCTGGAATGGCAACATTTCTCCCCCTCTCAATGCTAAATATCTGGTCTCTTGTTCTGAAACTGTGACCTTTAGTTCTTGATTAAAACCAGCCCTCTTTTGGTTTTTCCTATGTTGCATACAGTCACCAAAATGCTAGCTGATTCCTTCTTTCTAATCGACTATCGAGGGGTTGGAAAGAGAGAACAATATCCTGTGACTTGAGAACATGTGATGTGATGCTAACTCCTGTGATATCAAAACAAGCCAAATCTAGCATTTCTGCTTAAACCTCCTGTGAATGCTCAATCACTTACTTTGTTCTTGCATTTTTCTTTTGCAGACAGATTTAGCATATGTAAATAGTGTTGCGGAAAATCTCAAAAGTTTGTAAGTAATTTTCATTTTTTACCTGTCTATTGACACTTTGGAAATGATGGGTTTTCTTGACTCAAATAATTTGCGTTTCTGTTAATATTTTTCTAAGTTAAAGGCAATATAAATTGGTATTGTTCAATATTGCACAGTGACAGACAAAATAAAGATCACTAAGGTGGAACTGTTGTTAGCCTTTCATTGTTATTATGCTTAATTAGAAGTTGTTAAATAATTAATGTTTGCTTTTAAGCATCCAAACTCCAAGAATGAATAGAAACATTGGGAGGAGGTTAAACTGATTTCAGTTGATGATAATGGCCAGAGATAGTAGGAACTGCAGATGCTGGAGGATCTGAGATAACAAGGTGTAGAGCTGGATGAACACAGCAGGCCAAGCAGCATCAGAGGAGCAGGAAGGCTGACGTTTCGGGCCTAGACCCTCCTTCAGAAAATGGCCATCCTGTTTTACACCCAAAGTCAATTGTCAATGAATGAGGAAAAGAAACAGTCAGTTTATCCTGAACATTTTCAATGTACTGAACCTTGGAATTACTTTTATTGACATGAGGTTTGCTGCAGTTAGTTTTAGTGCTTTGATGAAAAACATTTAATGGTTCAGTGGCAAATTCATTTCCGCAGGGGAAGAGGGAGTGGATTGAAGGATGTGGTGAGAAGTGCAAATCATCTACAGTGATTATTTGGGCTTGGTAACAATTTTCCACCATCTGGAGTGACCAGTTCTTTCCATTATCACGCAAGATCCAGGAGCAATGATCCTTAATGTGTCACCTTAAAGGATAGGTAATAGATTCAATAGTAAATTTCAGATGAAGAATTGGTGTTGAATGCAGAAGATGATGAGAAAATAAATTGCTTGTTTTGATCTGTGGGAATGGAGTGAGCTCTGAAATACAAGTTCAGTCACATTTAGTTTGTGGGAAACCTCGGATGTTGGGATTTTATTGTACACCACATGTTGGTGAATTATAGAATTGATTCATCAGTTAATAGTTTTGGGGCTGAAGTAACTTTTCGTTTTAATTAGCTTACACTGGTCCACCAACATGTAGAATGTAGATTGAAGTATATTCACAACATTGCTGATGCATAGCCTAACCTCTAATGATGTCAGCAATGCAAAGCACTCATATGAACACTGAAACAGGAGTAGGCTATTTAGCTTGTCATACTTGCTGTGCCATTTAATACGATCATAACGGATCGAACGCTTCAGTGCCTTTGAGCCACATTATCTCCATGATATTTAAACTGTTGATAGTCAAAGATTTATTAACCTCTGTTTTAAATATACTTGAACACTGAGCTTCTGTGGACCTCTGGGCAAGAGAATCACAAAGATAGCCGCCTCTGAGTAAAACAAATTCTCCTAATATCAGTTCTAAATGGTATTCTTCTTATTTTTGAATTATGACATTATTTGACTTCCCAAACAGGGAAAACATCTTAGTTCCATCTACTTTATCTATCCTTTCTTTATTTTGTAGGTTTCAATGAGATCACCTTAGATTATTAAAAACTGTAAAGAATACTTGCCCAGTTTGCCAATCATGTTTTTTTTTGAATAGGACAGTCCCATGATAGTTTGACAATTTGATAGTCCTGTCACCTCGGGTGCACTCCCTTCTGTTAAACAGAAAGTCATGTATTTGAGCTCCACTCAAGTCACTTGATCCCATTATCCGGTGTGGCACTCCCAGTGCAGCACTGTGGGAATGATCAGCATAAAAATCTAAATAGGAATGTTATTTTAGCCCCAAAATTGTTAACAGATGTGTCAGATCTAGAATTCTCCTGTGTATGGGTGTACAATGAAGTCCCCACATCTGAAACTCATCAGAGACTGGGCTGTATTTTACACTGCCATTGGGCGAGATTGGCAGACAGGCAAGGGGCTTAAAATTGGACTCAATGGATGTTGTTCCTAGGACCTATCGCCCGCCAGTGGCAGTTTTACATGTTTGGAGAAATGTATGGAATTTCAAGCCACCAGCTTACCAGGCTGCTTTGAGGTGAGCAGTAGCTGTAAATTTCAGTCACTGAATTTGACTTGTATCTCGCAAACAGATACTGTCAGAAGTGCCAGAGCTGTTAAAACAAGGCGCCTCCTGCTAAAGACATTAAACCAAGACAAAGAAGACCCCACTGCACTATTCAAAGATATGTATGATAGTTCAGTCATCAGATTGTTTGAACATGAATCCCATGTATGAGCTTGATATGCACAAGTTGACAGCTGTGTTTACTAAATTACAAGGGTGACAAATTTCAAAAAGTATGCTTTTATCTTTGGAGCACTTTGGTACACTCTGGAATTGTGAATTTTTGAAAATCAACTGCTTCATCTGAGGAGTCAACTCGGTGAATCATTTTTGAACTGCCTGCAATGCCAGTATGTCTCTGTTTTAAATACAGGGACTGTATAACACTGTAATCCGGGTACTTCAAATGATGCTATCAAAGGGGCCTGGCAAGTTGGTTGAGGGCATCTTGTATCAGAAACCTTTTTTTTGTTCTTTGACCGTAGTATCATTTTCTCAATGACCTCACAAATGGTCTCTAACAATCTGGATGTACAGTCGTGTCCAAAGTATACCCATTTACATAATCATTACGACAGAATGGTTTGGAGATCAGCCCTGAATCTATGAGGCCTGAAAATCTGTTTTGATCCAGTTTTTGTTAAGTGTTTTGATAGTGGCAACTGTAAAACCACAGGAGAGGGTTGTTGAATTTTAATGACTTCTCAGTAATTGGTCAAATTCGTCTAACCTAGTGTGACATCAAGGTGCTAGTAAAATTGAAGTTAATGAGAATCAGTGGTAAAACTTTCCACCTAGCACAACGGAAGATGTTTGTAGCTATTGGAGGCCAATCATTTCGATAGGACATCACCTCAGGAATTCCTCATGGTGTTCTAAGTTCAGGAATCTTTAGCCATTTTGTCAAAGACTTGCCTTTCAATGCAGAATTCATAGCCTGTGATCTAATTGTGGCCTGAGCTATTATATTGCTGGTCCAGATAAGCTTCTGGTCAACGGTAGCTCTAGGATGTAGGTAGCAAGGAGTTCGTCTCTGCAAATGTTATTTAATTTCTGCCGGGGTATGGTTAGATTTTGTCTTTTTGCAGATGACCATTGTCTGGCACTTGTAAGGTGCGAATATCACTTGACACTTCTAAGACCGGTCTTGAATACTGACCGAGTCTTGCTGCAAATGGGTTTAGACTACTTCACTATCTAAGAAGCTTTGAATGGTAATGAACGTTAATATCAATGATTATCCACACACTTTTTTGCATTGAAAGGCAAGCCTTTGACAAAATGGCTGAAGATTCCTGAACTTAGAACACTTTGAGGAATTCCTGAGGTGATGTCCTATTGAAATGATTGGCCTCCGATAGCTACAAACATTGTAGTAGGTGGAAAGTTTTACCACTGATTCTCATAAACTTCAATTTTACTAGCACCTTGTTGTCACACTAGGTTAGACCAATTTGACCAGTTACAACACCACCAGTTTACTTGCAATCATCAGTGAAGTGTTGGAAGGTGTCAACAGCAGTGCTTTCAAGCAGCTCTTGCTTAGTAATAACCTGCCCGTAAACACTCGATTTAGGTTCCACCAGGTATACTGGGTTCCTGACCTCTTTACCACTTTAGTTCATTGGACGCCAGAGCTGAATTCCAGAGGTAAGATGAAAACGACTGTACCTGACATCAAGATGCCCTCTGACCAAATTTGGCATTAAGGAAGCCAAGCAAAACTAGAAGCAATGGGAATTGGGAAAATGCTCCACTGGTTGGAGTTATACCTGGCACGTAAGATGTGATTGTTGGAGAACAGTCATCTCAGCTCCAGGACATCACTGTAAGGAGTTCCTCAGGCTGCTGTCGGAGATCCAACAATCTTCAGCTGCTTCATCAATGACCTTACCTCAATTATAAAGTCAGAAGTGGGGATGTTCGCTAATGATTGCACAATGTTCAGCACCATTTGCTATTCCTCAGATACTGAAACAGTCTATATCCAAATGTAACAAGATGTGGACAATATCCAAGCTTGGGCTGAAAAGTGGCAAGTGGCAATTCACCACCATCTTCTCAAGGGTATCTACGAATGGGCATTAAATGCTGGCCCAATCAGTGATATCCACAACACCTGAGTAATAGTGCCAGGCAATGGCCATGTCAAATAAGAGAGAATCTAACCATCACCTTGACGTTTAATGGCATTGCCATCATTGAATCCTTAAGCTGTTTTTTAGCCTGCCCTGCCTTCTTTATTTCCCTTACTAAAGGTTAATGTACTAGTCTTGGACCCGCATGTCTCTCCTTTAAACTGAACGTAAATTGCAAACATGTTATGATCAATGCTATCTGGGACATCTTCACTATCAGGTAATTAATCCTATCTTGTTGCACAATACCAGGTCAATTATAGCCTGATCTCTGATTTGTTAGAATGTGCTGTTCTGAGCAATTATCTCTCAAATTCAACAAGCTCCTTATCTAGCCAACCTTTGTCCATCTAATTTCCCAGTTCATGATTCCACTATTTTTTTCCTTTTTACTCCTGTCATTTGGTTACTGTTATAGGGCCCCCCCCACCAACTCCCAAAAGTGATTTCTTCCTTTTATCATTTTTCATTTCTATCCAAACTGCTTCTACATCCCAGTTTCCTGAATTTGAATCATCTTTCTCTGATATGCTGCTACCATCATTAATTGAGAGCCATCCCACTACCATTTCCTTGTATCCTGTTTTCCCTAAATGTCATATACCCTTTAATATTTCAGTTCCAGTCTACATTGCCCTGCAACCATATCCCTGTACTGACTATCAGAGCGTACTTATTTATTAAAGAGGTCATAAGCTGATTATTTGAGGTTTAAAAAGTGCAAAAGTATGGCGAAAAAGTGAGAGATTGGCACTAGGTAATGATGCTCATTTAACAAGCCAGTGCACACATGGTTAGTCAAATGGCCTCTTTT